TCCACTGAGCGACTATTAATGTCGCTGTACTTTGTGCATGGTGTATAGAGCTTGGCAGAACACACTATCTTGGATATTGCAGCTTTCCAGATCGATGCCAATGGGGATTTTGTTGCACATTGTAGGATGCCATCCTGAGTATCCGGTTGTCACCGGCCTCCCGCGATCGCGCACCCTGATATTGAGAGCGCTCTGCCTATCTCACCACATCGATGGGTATGTGCGTCGAGTGGACGGGAACGTTGAACCACATCAAGTCGTCGACTCGAGATCAAGAGTTCATTTGTTGTGGTTTATTCGCTTACGGCGTCCGGAGGTCCCAGCGCGAGATACCGGGTGGACCGTTCAGATGATATATGCACGAGAACACGCCCTCGGCTATAAGCTCGAATGACATTGATATGAGCCCGGGTGCTGTATCATATTTGTCATAGCCTGCACTGGGTGGACCGTCGATGGTCGAACAAATTGAAATTGTAACTGGATCCCCCCAAGTATTGGGAGTACAGAGTACTGGATTCTTGTGGACAGGGGCGGCGCAAAGCAGGAAGGATACACGTGCACACGCTGGAAGATAGGTACACGAAGCAGGGAGCGGGGGCGTGCAGCGACCCTAGTGGCGGCGGCGGTGGAACAATATGGTACAGCGGGCGGCGGGCAGCCGTCATGGCTACCACGCCCCGAATGGCAAGACAAGATACAGAGAAAGCAATGGCATGGGAGAAGGGCGGCGGTGATGCAATGTGGGTCTCGACATAGATGCAGGGGAAAACGGGAAGGAACGAAGGGGTTACTGGTTTGGTGGACAACAAGCCGTCCACGGCGGCGTTTCTATGGACAACGAAAAGATGAGAGCGCGAGGCCTTCCGTTACTCGAGGGCCGCGCTCAGCCCTCAAGTGAAGGTAGGGGGGGAGATAAAACACCCCCGGTCACCGGTAGCACGTCACGAGGAGTACGCTCAGTCCGCTCTCCTTCACGGATTTGACCGGCGCCTTACGACCGCTCCTGATATCGCGGAGGAGCGCGGACCGACTGGGGTGCATGACGCTGCGGAGGGCATCGACGCCCTCCGAGCGCACGGCGAGGTAGTCGCGCACGTTCAAAAACGCCTGCGACTTGAGCAGCGCCTTTGCGGCGCGAAGCGAGTTCGGGAGCGACGGGAGGGAAAAGAAGGACGAAGAGGGTGACGCCTCCCCCGCTTCCAACTGAACGGCTGGGTACAGACCGAGCTCGATGATCAGAGCCTGGAGGAACGCGAGCTTTGGGATGCCCGCCTTCAGAGCCGGGTCCGCAGAAAGGACCCTGGAGCCTCTGCGTTAATCACTCGTTTCCTGGAAGTAGCAAGGGGGCAGACGTACGACGAAACATATGTCTGTGCGCTCTCGTACACAGACGGCGGCACATAGACGGCGGGGTACTCGGACCCCGCCTCTGAGACATCGTCAACAATGGGCCTGTCGCCGAAGCCAGAAGCACTTGGCGCAGCGGCCTCGCGCACGGCTGCTCTCTTCGCCTTTCTCCTCGCCTTGGAGGAGCTCTGGGTCTTCAGAGACTCGTTCGAGGGCTTTACAAGAGCCTTCGGTGTGCTCGCGTTAGAGCCCGAGGCGCCGTTGCCAGGTACCTGAGCGGCGGGGCGCTTGTTCTTGGTACGGCGTCGCGACGAATTGGATGGGACCGAGTTCTTGCTGCTGCTCGATGCGCGGGACCGCGCGCCCGAGTTCGCGAGGGTAAGGGCCGAAAAGGACGTTGCGAGATCGTCCTCGCGCGGGGTGCGAGGCCTGCTCATGATAACGAACTCATCGTCGGAGAAGACGCCCGGGGTCTGCGGGAGGTCCCCGCGCTGGGAGAGAATCTCGAGCGATGAAATGTCGGAGAAAGATAGGACGATCTCGTCGTCTGAGGAGACATCGTCGGATACGGTACCGTAGGACCCGTCCGACTCGCCCGAGGATGGATCTTGCGACCCGCTGCGCGAGTGCGAGAAGTAGTCGTATGAAGAGAGAGATGAGCCCGGTGAGAGCGCACGGAGGGGGGAAGTCATGGTGCGCTGCGTTGCCAGGAGAGAAGGTTGGGGGAAGAGGGAAGGAGAAGTGGGCGAGCGCGGGACTATAAGAGGGGGCTTGAGATAGGAATGTTGGTGCCCAAGACACGAGGGGGGTTCTGGATGATCAGGCCAGGTTGAGACCGAGTGCCTCGAGGAGCTGGTTGCGAGCTAAGGCTGGGGCGAGGAGGAAGGGGCGTCGGCGGATGAGAGCGAGAGGCAAGACATGAGGAGCGCGCGGAGGGAAATGGCGAGGCCGCTTTAGTACCCGCGCATCTGATAGGCCCGCGCGAGGACGAGCGCCGAGCGAGCCTGGGATCGCCCTCTCGTCGCGCGGGACACTGCCCGCTCTCTGCGGTCTTTCCGACTCCGGGAAATTGCAACAATAGCTGTCGCTCTCCATTGACACGGCACCGTATTCGACCACGGGAATAGCCTGTCCCCCAGCAGCCCAGATCTCACGAACGGTCTACGAGCAGATCCTCCAGTACACGACTGAGCTGTTCCACCCCGCCACCGCACGCTGTTCCACATCTACCCCCTTCTTCCACACCTGGCCCTGTAGGTCCCGCACCTCCCTCGCACGCTGCCGGTGCAGCATGAACCGCTCGCCCCCCGGTGTGAGCAGCACCGTCGGCGTCGGTAGGCTGCCCCGTTTCCCGTTCCCCAGCTGGTAGTCGAAGTTCGCGCCCCAGACGACGACGTCCTTGCCACCCCCACCAGGACCCGCACGCTTTCCAGTGTCGAGCGTGAGCAGGACGTGACCGGTGGGAGAGATCGAGATCGTTTCCGGCGCGATGGCCTGCAGATTTTTGGACAGTTCGCTGTCTGCGAAGCCAAAAGCATCAGCAACGGGAGAACATCCTTCTCACTTCTCATACAGAAATCTCACATTCATACAGCCCGCTGACATTCTTGGCGCGGACTGGGGTACTTTGAGCATTATTATAAAGCGCGTTGCCTAACCCGCCGTATTGACCGTTCCCACACGTGAGCACGTCGATATACGGCATGCCCGAGCCGTCCGACCGCTCGACCTCAAACATCGTGAGGTCGCCGCCTGCGCGCACGTGAGCAGGACGGTCGGTTGATAGTACAAGCGCACTGCTGTCTACTCACCGGCAAACACACCAACGCATGTTGTCCGCATTGTCGCGGGCGTTGTGCGCCACAGGACGACCTCCGTGGGCACGGTGATCGTGTCGAGCGTCACGTTCGCGCCAAGCCCGATTTGTCTGCGGTGCATTGCGTCAGTATCCGGCTGAGAGAGGCGCATTTGCGGCTCAGGTTGCCTCACCCGAATTCATTTGCGCCCCAACCGAGCACCTTGCCCGCGGCGGTCTTCGCGAAGCTGCTCCGACCGCCCGCGGCGACATGGTCGACTTTGATGCCCCGGAGGGCTGGTACTTCGAAGAGCCTGTCGGAGAAGCGGATGCTGGAGTCATCCAGTCCAGCCGCTACTGCCGCCTTTCCAATGTACGCCTCACTATTCCTTGGGGCAGCAGTAGCGGGGCGAGTGGCAGGGCTCGCCTTGGCATACGGATCCGCGATGGACTTGGGCGTAAGCTCGAGTGGGACGCGTGGGTGCTTGTGTGGGAGGTGGAAGTGCTCAAGGTCGACGGGGTAGGGCACGTCGCATTTGCGGAGGCCGAGCTGTCCGTGCGAGTTCGCGTTGAGTGTGATAGGGTGCGCAAAGGTACGACCTTCAGACGTAACCGCCAGCATGTGGTCTGTCCCTGCTGAGATCTGGACAAACCTACGGTATCCTTGTAAGCATACTGCTGCCCGCTGAGAATATCAGTGGGTAAGGCGCACCTCTCGCTACGCTTTAGATGCTCGCTCGGAGTGATCTCGACGAAGTCAACCTCCTCTTCCTCTCCCCAGAGCCAACCCGTTCCCCACCAAGGTGTGCTGGCAGGCGTTTGCGCACCTGTAGAGAGAGCCTGATCCGCTTGCCGAGAGGACAACATATAGATCCTCCCAGAAGCAGAGAGGGCGAATACACGGGATCGCGTGAGCTGCAGTTGTGTTATGTTCTAAGGCGAAGATGTAAGTTTAGTCAGGACTACAAGAGTGGCGACTCGCTCACTTTGCCCCGGAGAGTGAGACGCGGTTTGCCATGGGATGAACCTGGCTCACTGCCGAAAAAGCCATCGCCCCACTGGTATACGTCTCCTCGAGCGTCGACACACGCTGCGTGATATTCATGCAGTTCCAGATCGCGCAGCGCGACATTCTCAAACCACTCGGATGATGTCGGTACGCGAACGGCTTCTGGCAAATCATCATCCAAGACGTGAGTCCTATGATCTAACGTTAGAGCCTGGTACGCAATTTGACTAGACATGCCGACGTGCTGCTCACTTATTGGCTCCCCAGACCAGAGTGGTAAGCCCACTATCTGCACTCTGCACACTCCCGCTCGCTCCCTTTGACTGAGCCTCCCGGATTGTCGGCGCGTCGTTGTGGATGGTATTCTGCGTGGTTACTGCATAATAAAGAGCGCCTGCTACGGCGGCGGAGGCGGAGGTCAAGGCAAGAGAGGTGGCGAACCGCTGCGAGCCACCACGACTGACATTTCTGGAGAATAGTCTTCTGCCTACGTTAACCTGATGGGATCCAGTCAGTCGCGTCGCTCTTCCGAGCATGTTGTAGCGCGGCCTAGGTAGGTAAGACCACTAGTAAGGGGCTGGCAAAGCACAACGTCCACCGCATCAGTATCTGTGCGCGTCTAGCGGAACCGTGGACGGGCGCTCCGAAATCTCACGTCCCGGATTGTCTGGCGAAGCACCGGCCGCGCCGAGTTACTACTTCACAACCACCCCTAATATAGTATGTATATAATGCCATTGAGTACTATTGATCTACCAACGGTATTTAACTTATGATTGCGATCATGATATGGTAGTCCTATCAATAATTTCACCACTGGTTTAACAAAGTTCAGTCCATACTTATCCTTCGATAGCTCAGTTGGAAGAGCGTGGGACTGTAATTTGAAACTCCGAAATCCCAAGGTCACTGGTTCGATCCCGGTTCGAAGGATTATTTTGATTTGGGTCCACTTTAACGTCGGCACTTTCTGGGCAATTGTTCACCGGTACCCCTAACCCTATGTGTCCCAATGGTGCACATCGGCTGAAGCAATAGAAATCAAGCAAGGTGATTCACAGGATTTAAGCAGGTACACGGGAGTATTGTAACGCTTCATACATACGAGGCACACAGATGTAGCACCGCCCAATGATATGATATCAAAAAGACTGAGCTCACGGGAATATGGTCATCAGCGAACACCTTCCCAACTCAATCAAAGGTCGGGTGGTCATGACCTCTGGACATTGGCAGCTTTCAAATTGAAGGGTGTGGAGAGCCGGTAGTGGATCCATTCTATATACCTATTGTAGGCAAGATATAGAGGAATTGTACTCATTGGTCGTCACAGTGGTGTAATTGGACCCCATAGAATAAGGGCCATGAGTACAGAGTCTTGCCGGTGTTGGGTTCCGAATGATGGGTGTCGCGTCGCGCGTGAGCAACTTCTGCGAGGAGCTTTATCACAAAGTGTCACGGTACCGAGGGGCGGAATAGATGGGGTATAAGAGTAGATGCTGCGGAGTGATGAACAGACCTCACTCACTGTCACCCTCGAGGGATCATCGTGGTTGACGAACATCCGGTATATCAAAGAGACGTGGGTAGAGGTTTGTCTTCTTTGATTTTGGGTTCCTTCCAGGAGGCCTGCAACGGGGACAGACGGAGCAAGGTGGGTGCAAGGCAATGATGCACACCACACAATACACGCACCAGCATAGACGTGTGCTCCGCTCCGTCTTCACTCACCCATCTCTTGATTGAATCCGGGGAAACGCTCGCACTGTTGACATAACGTGCAAGACGCTCCAGTTTTTCTGGGTCAATTCCGTACTTGTTTGCAAGGCCAGCCTGCTCGCTCCGTGAATGCGCGAATGTTCGTTCCTCCAGGAGGTCCATGAGTGATGCCGCTACTAGCTGGTTATGTGAAGGACGTGCTGAGCGTGCTTCGTCTTCCGAGCGCAAACGCGTCTGGAACAGACGTTGGGTATGGTCCGCTTCCTGGGCTAATATGAGCTGTTGCGCGTGATGTAGACTACAAGTTACGCACTGGTTTTACGGACTGCATGCGATGGTCCACCTGAACTTGCCCGAGTCTGCTCAGGTTGGCCAATAGATGGGGATCCTTAGAGTCTTTTTCAATAGCTACATGTCCGAGTCAATCATTATGTTAAAGCTGCAATGTATAAGTATTCCCTTGCCCTCGTTCTTCGTTTCGCTGGCCTGGGGCATGGCAGACCAAGGAGGAACTTGTGCTCCAGTATTGGGTGTCCTCGCACCCGCCCACGCGGGTGGTGTCCTGGCCAGTTTACGGGCAGGTTTGGAAGCCGTCGAGCCCATCGTGAAGCTGTCGTAGGGGCAGAGCGAGAGCAGGGTAGACACAAAATGCGAGAACGAGGGAGAACACCTCGAGAACGCCCTCGTCCTCGTCAATCTCATGAATGACGTTGAGGGATGGCCGGAGCACCGGGCCGCAAGTTGAGCCCTCGCTGGGCGTCTATACACAAGGAGGACGTCGAGGGCGAAGGTCCCGCGAGTGGCAACACCAGCCTCGAGCCCGACCCTCACAGCGTCCAGCCATGGCCAAGCGGCGCGTGACCTACTACTACGACCGTACGTTCTCCACATCTACCTTCGCGCGCCCTGCTCACCGTCAGCGTACAGCGGATGTCGGCGCATTCACCTACGGCCTTTCTCATCCCATGAAACCCCAGCGCATGCGGATCACCCATGAACTCCTCACAGTATACGACATGCTCCCCAAGATGCACGTCCTCGTAAGCATTCCCTCAGCCGCGTCAAGATACTCCCGCTCACGCGTGTCCCGGATCCATCAGAGAGCAAAACGCGCATCCGCGGAAACAATGACCAGATTTCACACCGACGAATACATCAACTTCCTCTGCAAAGTCACCCCGGAGAACGCGCAGCAGCTTACATACCAGGGGTCGCGATTTCTAGTGGGCGAGGACAATCCCGCATTCGATGGCATCTTCGAGTTCTGTTCCATATCCGCCGGTGGGTCATTGGGTGCGTCCTTGTGCCCTCCGCGTCAGACACACTCCCCATACCCACCGCGCAGCTGCCGCGCAACGCCTCATGAGTGGCCAAACCGACATTGCCATAAACTGGGCTGGCGGGCTCCACCACGCGAAAAAGCGTGAAGCATCGGGCTTTTGCTACATCAACGACATCGTGCTCGCCATCCTCGAGATGTTGCGCACCGTCCCGCGCGTCCTCTACATTGACATCGACTGCCACCACGGCGACGGCGTCGAGGAGGCCTTCTACACCACCAACCGCGTCATGACTTGTTCCTTTCACAAGTTTGGCGAATACTTCCCTGGCACGGGCACGCTTGACGATAGGGGCAGAGGGAAGGGGCGGGGCTACGCAGTTAACGTTCCCCTAAAGGACGGCGTTACGGACCAGGCGTACAGGAGCGTGTTCGAACCCGTACGTCTTCAGGTTGAGGGGCCGTCTTCCTCCGAGCGCGGGGACTGAGGTGTAACCCATCAGGACTAAACTCATATCTGTTGACCTAGGTCATCGACAAGATCCTTGAGGTCTTCCAGCCCTCCGCTATAGTATTGCAGTGTGGCGCGGATTCGCTTTCCGGTGACAAACTTGGCTGTCTGAACCTCACGATGCAAGGGCACGCGAGCTGTGTGCAGTACATTCGCAAGAAGAATATCCCCTTCATGCTCTTGGGAGGCGGCGGATACACGGTCAAGAACGTCGCGCGCACATGGACGTACGAGACGGCCTGCGCGCTGGGAATGGAGGACGACATAGACCTTAACCTGCCATGGAATGAGTACTTCGAGTGGTTCGGGCCCCGTTATCGCTTGGAAGTCCCCGCGAGCAATATGGACGACTTGAATATGCGGGACGGCTCTCTCGACCGAGTGCGGTAAGTCAGGCATTCACGCCGCATGGGTCCCTATCACTGACTTTGAGATCTTCGCAGTGAGACCGCGCTACGATATCTATCCCAATTACGTCCGGCACCCTCAGTAGGGCTACAAGATGTGCCGAGAGAGAGCATAGGCGAGCACTTAGGGATCGGCGACGCCTACGAGCAAGGACCCCTCGACGATCTCGACAGGTCCCTCGCCCGTAAGTCCCCCGACGGCCTCCTCAACAACCTGCTTAACCCTACCTGCACAGGGCACGCAAAATTCGTATATAACCTGCAAGAAAAAGCTGCCCAATCCGACTCTGACTCCGAGTCCGACTCGGACACGTCTCTCGCGCACACCCGCAGCGGTGCCCGTGCGTCGACCAGCGCGCGCCGCCGCGGGAAGACGCGAATGAGCCTCCTCACAGGCGAGTGCCTCGATGTACCGCGGCTCGAGGAGGGTGGGCACGGCTACTACGACCTCGGCTGCGGGCATGAGCCATGGGTGGGCGACCTGCCCGAGCCCGGAATGAAACGGCTATTTTTCCAGAGCGCCGCACACTGGGAGAGCGCGCTCGACTGCGCGCTGGCGGAGCGCGAGCGTGCGGGCCTTCGGAACGGGCGCGCGGACGTGGGCGCGCTGATGACGAACGGCGGGAGCGTGGAGCGTGCCAGTGACCGCGGCACAGAGGATATGGACGTGGACGGGGAAGAGGATGCATGAGGACTGGGGCGTGAGGCTGTAATTTATGATGTTGTTATTTGTAATGTCCGAGCTTTTGTACATTACACCACGAATTTGGCCTTGCGGTGTCAGTTGTAGGGTGTGTTCGTACAGGACGGTTGCAACCAGGTTCACTGGGTAGTAAGCATGTAGGCATACTAGTGTATCCCTCACACACACCTTGATCATGTACATCCCAGCAGCTATCGTGGGTAATTCACACCAGATAGAAAGCGTACTTGGTGAGATTTCTATGGTGCAACGGCTTCCGAGAAGCCTCCCTGTATGTAATACAATGCACGCGACGAGGGTAGAGATGGATGAGTAAGAGGAACGGTAGGGAATAGAGATCATGCAAGCAAGCCAACCAGCTGGACACCCTACAGTACGGCTACCGGGGAGAAGGCGACGGTACTGTCCTACGGCGCGAGCCGCGTCCAATTTTGTTTCGAGATGGAGAGGGAGAGAAAGAGACGAGAGAGTATTGGGACACAGGAGGACAAACGAGTGAGGGTGCGCACGACTATGGGGGTTTATTGACATTGTGGGTGGGAGTGAGATGGCGATACTGGTCAGGGTGGGGGTATATGAGAAGGCGGGAGCAGGCGCTGGTTGGGTCAGAGCAGGCTGCCGAGCCGCGATTCAATACGATAATATGTAGAACACATTGGAGGGACGAGAAGCAATTGCGGAAAGATCGGGCGTATCCTCATAGCTCGACAGTATGTTCCGGAGAGCGGGTCATTATGTTCGTGAGACCGGTAGCGGTTGGGGTCGGAGGGTCTAGGCGTGGAAAGCCCCCATGTTCTGAGGGTTCTGCTGTTGGTACATTTGAAACATGTACGCCTGGTAGACGTGCGGCGGGACCGATTGCGGCGGCATCCCGTTGTACGACGGCTGGTTCATGTTCATGAGGTTCGCGGCCTGGGGCATGCTGGGAGACTGAGCGCCGTACGGAATGGGCGAGGGCGAGTGCGTGTTGGTGGGAGGCATTCCGCCATTGCGGCGCGGCACTCCACCTCTCGGCGTGTTTCCATCAGGAGTACGGGAGGCGAAAGGGTTGAAGGGGTCGGAGGCGGGCGAGAACGCGGACGGCGGGTTGGATATGCGACCCCCACGTTGGGGAGGAGTACCACCGTTCTGGCCAAACCCAGGATCGATCTGAAGGCGCGGAGGGCCAGAAGCGGCATTCTGTCCACCCATCTGTAGTGCAGCCATCATGGACTGCAGGCCCTGATCGTTGGAGGGGTATCCGGCCGGCAGACCTGGCATACCGCCGTACTGACCCTGTGTCGTGTATTTGGACTTCCCACTGGGTTGAGGAAT